CTCTCTCTCTCCCCCTCTCTTCTCTCTCTCCCTCTCTCTTCTCTCTCTCTCTCTCCTCCCTTCTCCTCTGCGACTGGCCGCTACGGTCCTGCTAATAAAATCTCAGACAGGTAAACTGTTGTTTTGGCAAAACACTTCATCATACATTGTTCTTTTCTTTAACAAAGTGTTGCCAAAAGCTTGGTCCTTATCCCCCCATGCCAATCCAATAACAAGGACACAGTTTTGAGAAAAAGGAAAAAGAAGTCTTATTGCTTTGCTAGCAAAGGAGAAGCAAAGGGAATGCCTGTCCCAAAGGCTGTATTTCTGCCCATCAGCAGGAACAGGGGGCTTTTAACATCTACATTTCACATATTCACTGTCTGGTGTTGTAATTCACTAGTTACTTTGGGAGAGAGTCATTTCTGAGATATTCTGGTACCATCCCAAAGTCTATTGAAGGTGTGTATTCAGGGACAGATAACTCTGCCTAAAATGGGGAAGAAAGGTAATACTATTTTCCCTGAGATTAGGGATAGGGAGAGATTAAGGAGGAGCAGGGCATTTTAAAAATAAATTGCAGTGGCAGAGCAGCAAGTATTACATTCAAAGCATAGTGGACCATTGTTACAAAAGTGTTTAGGTTATTCTTTACCCTTTCCATTTTGATATTTCCAGTTTAAATCCAGTTGCTAAATTTCTGCCTTAACATATACACACACACCCTACATTCCAATAAAACCTATAGTTTTTTATTGATCCTCCCTCTATATTTTTAAAGAATTCATATCTTCATAGATATTGAAATCTCCAATTATTAAAAGTATCTTTAAATTCACTCAATAATTCTTCATATATGCTTATGTTATGCTCGAATTMAGGACCCTCAAAAGACCACCAGAGACCAAGATCCATGTAAGCAGCAAAGAAGTGTTTAATTCGAGCTAGCTCGGTTCTCTGCGCGCACTCACAGCAACTGGTGATGCTGAGAGGCCCCCAAGCCCAGGGTTTGCAGCAGTTTTATACACTCTTTGGGGAAGGCAGGGACTTCACATACATCATAACATCTCTTAGCAAATCACCACACACCTCGGGAAAATCATAAAACAACTCTAAAACATGATTAGCACATTCACTGGCAGGAACAAGTTGGGTAAGGGTGATTGGTTAGTACAAGAGGGGGATTTGTTTGAACTGATTGGTTTAAGCCACGAAGGGTGTACATGCTGAACTACATGATTTCCCAACATGTTATCAACCACCATAAACTACTGGGAGGGTCATCTGGCATTCCAGGTATTTCCTTGTCTCAAGCTGATTGGTGGCTATGGGTTTGCTATGGGTCCTCACCTAACCTGAGTCAGGGACACCTGGTGCTACAGATCTCTTCTGTTATTTGTAGATAAACAACCCATCAGGGTGGGTATAGTGCCTTGGAGTGCTCTGTGGGTCTTTCCAAGGACAAGGGCCACGCCCCCTTCTTTGGACAGGCTTTGCTCTGAGGTACAGGCTGGTTTTTCAGTTCCTTATAAGATATTTGTCATTTATATGCTTTTATTGGTCTTTGCATAGGCATGCCTTTTCTATTTTCTCCTATGCATAAATTCTGTCAATTAGGGCTGAAATCAAACTTCATTCCTCTTCTCTTCCTTTCCTTTACCTTCATCTCTTCAGTAAGGAGTAATCTTACTTTCCTCCTTTCCTTCTTTTCTTGCTCTGCTAGGGATAGAATCCAGAGTCTTGAGTATGCTAGGAAAGTGTTCTATTACTAAGCAACACCCTCAACCCTCAAAGTAATCTTTCTTTTCTGTGACCTCATGACAGCACATTACTTCTCCATAAAACCCAACTTGTTTTCCTTTTTTGCTTATATCTCATTTTCATCACTAGAATATTAGTAATGTCTGTATTTCTCCTAGGAGAGAGAGAGAGAGTATATGGTGCTGGGGATTGAATCCAAGACCCCACTGAGGGACATTCCCAGCCTTCTCTTAAAAGGGTCTTGACCAATAAATTCACAACATGTGCTGAACAGGGATAGAATTCCTTGTGTACCATATTTTCCCCATATCTGCCATTAGGTGGCAATGCATAAACTTTGTAGTACAAAGAAAACCCAGGGCTCCACAAATGCAAGGCAGGAGGAGATCTACCAGTAAGCTACACCCCGAGTCAGGCTTTAAAAATTAAAATAGAGCTAATCTAGCATAAAGATTATTTTTTTGAGCTGAACATATTTGAAAATCAAAAAATGAGGAAGAGGCTTTCTCTAAACTCCCCTTATCTGGCACACACCTGTAATCCCAATAGCTTGGGAGGCTGAGGCAAGAGAATCACAAGTTCAGTTTCAGCAATTTAGCGGGGCCCTTAGCAATTTAGTGAGATCCTGTCTCAAAAACAAAACAAAACAACAACAACAAAAATAAATAAATAAAAGAAAAAAAGAAAAGGAAAAAAAAAAGAGGAGGGTTGGGGAGGTAGTTCACTGGTTAAGCACCCCTGGGTTCAATCCTTACTACCACCAAAAAGAAAAAATAAATAAATAGGATTCKTGGTCTGTGGTTTACTATGAATTTACCAAGCAAGTGTTCAAACTTATCCTACTTTATGTTCTGCTTTCAAAGAATCTTGATTTCAAATGCTATAATATAGTAGGAAGGGTAAACAAAGGAGTATATTCATTGCTTCTATATGAAACTTCTCTTTCTGTATTGACCTCTTTGGTGTGCACACTGATATTGGTAGAGAAAGACTTGCATCAAGGATCTGAACCTAAGTCTATGAAGTCAGCCAGCTAGCATTGATAAATTATTGTCAGGACAAATTTGTGATGATCTTAATCAATAGTATTATCTACTATATGTATAGTTATTGCCAAATTAATATTTGAAAGGTTAATTAAGCAAAGGACAATGGAACTTTATTAGTTTTTCTGTTTCTTGAAGAATAAGAGCATGAAATGTTTCAGACTTCACAAAAGTATTTTTAAATATGTCTTTAGTTGTTGATGAACTTTTATTTTATTCATTTATTTATCCATGGTGCTGAGAATCAAACCCAGTACCTCACACATGCTAGGCAAGTGCTCTACCAATGGGTCACAACCCCAGTTCCCTCACCAAAGTATACTTTGAACAGAGTCTAGCATGAAACAAAGCTTCCACGTTTCCCAAGAAACCTTTCATTATTATGATTCTTTAATGTTTCCTGGAAAAATCCCTGTTTTTGAATTATACTAAATAGTACAACTGACTCATAGAATGATTAGGGTGATTTTTTGTTGTCTTCTTAATGCATGCTAGGTTTTTTGTAAGGAGAATAGGGTGAGTCAATTGGAACTATCTATACATAAATATATAAAATAATATGAATGTCTAAAGGGATATTGGTGAAAGCTCTATAGTGAAATACCAGAACTTCTTTTTAGAAAATCATAGCTTTTATTTTGATAAAAAGTGATTCCTGTTTGACAGACCTCATTAACTATATAAATTTTGCCCTAGATTTATTTCTTTTCAGCATAGTTTACAGGATATTTTGATAATAAATCAAGATTGGCTAGTTTTTTTTGGGGGGGGGGCTGAGGATTTTCTGTTAAGTTTCTCTATGAGATTACCTATATAAAAAGATCCTATCATATTGTTTTTTTAAACTATACATCTTCAAATATTATTGGCAATTTTCAATTCAGCAGAATGTTGAGACTTTAATAACAATATACTATGACAATAATTTGTTTTCATTTGGTCTCTGATATCTAAAGGTCTTGCTCACTATCCTATAATGGTCCACCTCAACTGCTCTTTTCCTTAGCATAAACATTGATTTGGAAAGCACGTTGGGTATCAAACGTGGGAGCCAGGGAGTTTCTGAACTAAACAGTGATTAAAGGATTTCAGCAAAGTTCTTTCCGCAAAATCTGTTTTCATACTAAATTACTCAAACCAGGTCCTCTTCCTTGTTGCATCCTCTTTGCAACGCCCTTCCCACTCTTCTCAAAACTGGATAACTCTTACTCATCTTTAAGATTCAGCTCAAATGTCATCCCAGGTGCAGGCTTTCTCAACATGGCAGGTGGAGCTAGCGGGTTATTACTTCTCAGCTCAGCTCCCCTGGCTCACAGGGAGCAGCTCAGCCTTTAGCACAGCCGAATGGGGATTACCTATTCTGCGGGTCTCGCCCCCAAGGTGTGCGCTTCTAGGGTGAAGACCGCGTTTTGTTAATTCTCAACCTTTTATAGTCTAAAGTTGGGCTCAGTGATGCCGGACGACTGAMGTCCTATTGGCGACTTCTGCCTACAAGAAGCATACTTCAACCAGATTACTTGCAGTGTCCCATAGTTTCAGCCGGCACACCGGTTCCCGCCAACTAAGCATTTAAAAACAAGCAGCCGCGGATACTAGGAATAGAGGGTACCCATCACAACGACTGCCTGTTCATCAGCCCCAATGGGGCTACGTTTGCTTGCTGCTCCGGCAGGGGCGATTCTGGAGTTTGCTCAGTTAGGGCGACGCTTTCTTTGAACAAACTGAGCCCCAGAGGCTTCTCTAACTCTGGACTGGAGACGCTGTCCGCTTTTTCTAACGGTGACATGCAGTCAAGGGGAAAATGTGGATTCAGAGGTCTGGGGTAACTGCTCGCGGCTGAACCCGAGCTGACATCTGTGAAGGGTCTCACTCACTGTGTCTTTCCCCCAGCCCCGTCAGCCCCTAGGGTAAGCGTCCCGTACAAGGGTGCAGCTCCGTCAATTGCGCTTGCACTCGGCGTCCCGCCCACCCTGGGCGGAGAGTCATTGTTCTCGCGAGATCGCGGCTAGCCTCGCCTCTTCAGATTGCGGGCTCTCGCGAGAAGCGGCTGAGGAGCCGGCCTGCAACCTGCCGGGCGGCTCTGGTAGGCGCAGCCGCCGGAGTGGCCGCCTCACAGCCAGCTCTGGAGGGATCCGGTTGAGGAGGAACCGGAGGCGTCGCCGACCTCGGCCTTCGCCTTGATCCTCCGTGGACGCTCGACGGGGCCTACAGGTTCGGGGTGAATGGGCATAGCTGTGGAGCGCAGTGGGGGCGGCGTGGGAGGCTGGGCTTGGCGGGGGCGTAGGAGGAAAGGGGCGGAGGGCGAAATCTGGGCTGGAGAGCCGGGCTGCTGTGGCAGTGGTCTGGGCGGCGGGACACGGCGAGGGGAGCGTGGGTGGCGTTCTGGACTCGGGCCACCGGCACCCAGCTCCGAGGGGCAGAGTTGGGACTTGGGTTTCCGGGGGTGCTGCTGTTTGGTTGGCAGTCCGGAGGCCTTTCCCCCAGGGATGAAGGCTATTCCTTCATCCCTCCTTCCCAGGGCAGAGTAACCCGGTGCCCCGCCCCTTTCCTGTCATCTCTGGGCTTAAGGCAGCGACATCCTGAGGAGGGCGCATCACAATAGGGTGGTGAGTTGTCCGTCTCCCTTTTAGGGGATAAGATGGTGGGCGGTCTCCCTTCAGGTGAAGAAGGGTGAGACCCCAATAACGTTTTTATGCTGTGACAGTATCGTGTATGGTAAAGCTTTGCTTTTTCAAAACTTGCATAGAAAAGGTTCTGATTCCTTCTTTCCTTCCTTCAGATGCAAGTGCCCTAACACGCCTTGTAATTGGGAATAGGGTTGAGGGAGGGAAGACCTCCCTTGGTATTTTGTTAGTGTGACTGGGCCAATGTGACCATCCCTGGACCGAACAAATTTCCCACTTCTCTTTTCTCTTATTTGGAGTCCATGATGAAAAGTCACTAGTCCAGACATGTTAAGAGTTTCATTCGCTTGTTACTTTGCTCCCTTAGCAAATGAGTTTATTTTACAAGTATATTTTGACTTCAGGAGTTTTCATGATTTTTATTTAAATTAACAATCTGAATAAGGCGGCACAATGTTTATTGATTTTATTTGGATGTTGCTTCCCACTCCCCGACCCGCTCACCTCTTCCCCTACCCCGACTATGCAAATATGATAACATTTTTTTTAGAGAAGAGTTGAGGGATAAATTTAGAATGAAAGAGACTAGAAATTGTAGTAAAAGATATGACAAAGAATGGAAAGCACAAGGGCCAAGTTTTCATATTGGCGAGCCCATCCAGGACCAACGGAAAGAACGAGACTGTGATTATCATTTGAATATAAAGCAGAAAGCAATAAAAAAAACACTTGGGAAAGAATTTGATGATGAATTGAAACTAGTAAAAAAAAAGTGTTTGAGGAGTTATTTTTGAAGGTGCCAATGTGTTTCAGAAATTTTTCTAATATTTTTCAAGAGTTTATGACTTAATAGCTGCTATTGTGCATAAGGAGAGAGAAAGGAGATTCTGAAGTATGGAGTGTGGTAAGGAACATTGTTCAATCAGGAAGGTCTTCTAGTGTTTCAATAGTGTTTTTGAGTTCTTATATCATTTTTTCCCTCATTCCCCAAAATGCTTTCAGATGGGCTTTTAACCTGCTGTATGTTATTCTTCTACCAGTTTGAATTTTGTTYTATCTCATCCTTTCTTCTAAGCTGTGTGAAAATTTTAAGTTATTAACCATGAAATTATAAACAACAGTGGTTTGCTTTGTGATTTTTTACATTTAGGATACTTTGAAGTTTGGAAGCAAACTGGAATATATGCACTTTTCAAAAGAGATTATAGGTAACAAACTCACATGTCTTCTGGTAATAGTTATGTAATAAAAATGTGAAGTCCAGTGGAGAGTTTATGCCTTATCTAGGAGGGACGTCAAGTTTTCAGGTCCACTTGATTAGTTCTGTATGTGAATATGGGCCCAGTCTTAAGCCTTCTCAAGAGAAAACAGGAAAACTCAATTTTAAAACATGCAGTCTCTTGATTTTTTTAAAGAGAGAGAATTTTTTTTTTAATATTTATTTTTTAGTTTTCACCGGACACAACATCTTTGTTTGTATGTGGTGCTGAGGATCGAACCCAGGCCACACGCACATCCCCAGCCCAGTCTCTTGATTGTTAAAAATATTGACGGCTAATTAAAACAATTGAAAATAACTGCATGTGGCCCAATCAAACCCACACTTGTTTATAGTTGTATTCTGTTCTCTAGGAACTGTTTTATAGGTCAGAATTAATGTATTTTATAACTGAAAAGAAAAAGAGGTTTAAAGCAAGTAGTTCACGCTTTAAAATTTCAGTCTTTAGGAGGACTTAGGGAGGGAACATGTAAAGTCTAATTGAAACCAGTAGATAGTTTTTTTTCCTTTTTCTTTTATTAAACCCAGGGGTAATGATGTTGGCAATCAAATGTGCCAACAAGAAGCCCTTAGGGCTTTTTTAAGTTAAAAAAAAAAAGTCAAAGTTCTTGACTTAAGAGAAAAAAATTGTATGCTGAGGTTGCTAAGATCTACACATTTTGAGAGAGACTGTGTTCCTATAACTTTTATTACAGTATATTGTTATAGTTTTCCTGTTTTATTGTTTTCTCTCTCTCTTTCTTAGCCACCAAGCCACATCCCCAGCCCTTTTTATTTTTTGAGACAGGGTCTCTTTGAGTTGCTTAGGGCCTTATTAAGTTGCAGAGACTGGCTTTGAACTTGCAATTCTCCTGCCTCAATCTCCCAAACCACTGGAATTATAGGTGTGAGCCACCATGCTCAGTTTACTATTGTTCTTAATCTCTCATTGTGTTTAATTTATAAATTAAACTTTATCATATTATGTATGTATAGGAAAAAATGTAGTTATATATAGGGTTTATTCTGTACAATATGTAGTTTCAGACATCCACTGGGGAACATGGAACTATACTTTGAGTCTAAGGAGGTACTACTATATTAGCATTTTAACTGTAGAAATAACTGAAGGAAAGGCTGTCAGTATTTATGGCTTTTCCGGGTTCTAGCTATGCATGGTGGCACACACTTGTAATTCCAGTGATTTGGGAGGCTGAGGCAGGAGGATTATAAGTTTGAGGCTAGCCTCAGCAATTTAGCAAGGCCCTAAGCAACTTAAGAACCTGTCTCAAAATAAAACGGGCTGCGGACATGGCTTAGTGGTTAAGTGCCCCTGAGTTTAATCCCCAGTGCCAAAAAGAAATAATAATACTTTTATTAATATAATTATTATTATTCAGAGTTCTGAGCAAAGTTTAAATATAGGTATCTTGTAAGGAAATTGGTTGATTTAAAAACTCTTTTATGTACTTGCAACTAATGTTTAAATCTTGGAGTCTTTCTATAGTCCATTTCAGAATTTGAATGTTTGTTATTGGCTGTGCCATTCTATGTTGCTTTCCTAGACATTCACTTTTTTAAAAAATTTTCTAACTTATTCTTTTGTTTTTAATATTTGCTTTTTAGTTGTAGTTGAACACAATATCTTTATTTTATTTATTTTTACGTGGTGCTGAGGATCAAACCCAGGGCCTTGCWCATGCTAGGTGAGAGCTCTACCGCTGAGCCACAATGCCAGCCCAAGACATTCACTTTTACTGGAAAAAATATTGATCCCCTGGCAGATGGGGAGGGGGCGTTTTCAAATGGGATGAGGAAAGTGTGTTGTAAAGCAGGCACTCTTATGTCTCTTTCATACATTGTCCATTGCAAGATTGATTTTGATTAATTAGTTTTTCTAAGAATAGGTACTTTGATTATTTTGTGCCTTACGCATTGTAGAGCTTAGTAACCTTGTGGATTAAAACTCATTTACCCATTAATGAGAAGTACTTTAATCTGATTCATACCTAGTTGGGTAGTGGGGAGTGGGAGCTTTAGATGTCAGGTCTAAGTATGAGGTGGACCTTAGATATTTGGAGGGCAAAGTGAGAGTCCTCACTGGAGAGTAAGGTAAGAGAAAGCTAAGTGAGGGGACAGAGTTTTGAAAATGAAGATAAAATGGTTAAGAACCCTTTTTTTCTATTGTTCAGTTTTACAAAGAATACTGCTTTTTACAACTAAATTTGTAATAACTTATGTAAAGACTACATGGAATTTGGTTTTTAATCAGAACTGCTTAGGGAGTTTTCAGACTTGATTTTCTTCGATTTAGTCCTGTCTTCACACATCAAGCTCCAATCTCTATCTATCTGGAATAGAATTCGAAAGAGTAGGAGATATTTATTATGTTTGTGAGGTGTTATTGACTGAGAGTTTTACCATTTCTGAGGTTTTTGTTTTTTTGTTTTTTTTTTGGTGAAAATTGTGCTTGTTGGAGGGAGCGTTGTTTTYCTTTCCCCATGTTTCTACTGTGAGTCATAAAGTAGGAAATTTTCTCTTGGAAATAGTCCTGTCCCCCTCCCCTCTATGCTCCAAAAAGCCTCTGAAATTCTTTCCCAATTGAGCATTTGAAGAAGCTAGGAGAGGGGCTGGGGATGTGGCTCAAGAGGTAGCGTGCTGGCCTGGCATGCATGCGGCCCGGGTTCGATCCTCAGCACCACATACCAACAAAGATGTTGTGTCCGCCGAGAACTAAAAAATAAATATTAAAAATTCAAAAAAAAAAAAAAAGAAGCTAGGAGAAAGTGCCCTCTGGTTCGTTTTGAAACTCCCAATTTTTAGGATATACATTTTCTGTTCATGTGTATGGTAGGTTCATCTGAGCAGAGTGGACCTCTGTGAGGGAGGAGGAAATGGAATACCTATGATTCTGAGTAAATTTAATTTATAGTTGAAGGAATAAGAAACTTTTTTGGCCATTAGTTTCTCTTATATATATATTTTTATCTAACTTCTTTATTTAGTTTCTTTGGTCCTGAACTAAAACTAAGGGGTGGGAGGAAGAGGTAGTTGCAGATGTTTATTAATAGAGGAAGAATTGCAATTGAGCATCCCTAATCTGAAAATCCAGAGTCCTACATCTCCAAAATCTAAATGCTTTGAGCAGTAACGTGATGCCACAAGTCTGATTGTTAAATGTAAACAGATTTTGTTTCATGCATAAAATATTTTATGCTTGAAATATTAAATATTGCATGAAATATTAAAATATTGTATAAAATTACCTTCAGCCCATATATAAGGTGTTTATGTATTTCGTGTTTAGACTTGAATAGTCCCAAGATATTGCATATT